ATTAATACTATACTTAACTGCGAATCTTTTAATGCAACAGTAAAGTACTATATATGTATATATGTAGATCAAAATCAATTTATAGGGTCAGTTAAAGTGGGGTAAATTCAATATATAATCTACATTCTGCATAAGTTGCATTCTTGATATCTATATAACCTGCTAATCATAACTAGATCAAAAAGATAACTCTAAACCTCGCGCCGCTTTAACCAACCAGAATTTATAATAAAAATCTCATATAACACCAACCACTAGACGATTACCAGTTATAGTATACAATGAAAAGTTGATTAACATGGATAAATACTATCTAAGTATTTTTTATTTCTTTTTAAAAACATTAATTGATTAAATAACGTAGGACTTATAAGTGTTCTTTTTGCAGTTATTAAGTTTTTCATATCAGAAAACAACCTTTCGCTAGCTGTTGAAGACGCAAAACAGATAAATATTTTTTTGCTAGCCTGCTCATAACCGGCAATTTATTACACTACACATACCACCACTCGAAAGGATCACAATCAATATCAATTTCTTCGAGCTTTAAATAGTTAGAAATCTTCTCAACTGTAGTTGGCATATTTTTTTTGAAACTGGAAAGAATGCTACTTTTAGCTTTCTTTACAGTAGTTGATTTAACCTCTGTTTTACTATTTTTTTTTTCTTTATCTATAGAATTTTTCATTTCATTATACTTTTCACGAAGTAGATTCTCAGTAGCAAATCATTTAGCAAATGTGACAAAAGATAGACTTTTGCATCTGGGATCTAGAAGACTAGGCAAAAGCGAACTTGGTGATGTTAAATCAGGCCAATAGTAATTTATTGCATTAGATAAATTACTTTTAATTTTGTCAAGATCAATATTAATTGGTGTATAAGCCTGTTCATCCTCTTTCTCCTCTTCATCACTTATATCATCGTCAAATAAGTCTTGGGTATCATCATCATTAGTTTCTACTATAATATCATTATTGGTAATCGATAGCTGATATTTTTTCTTAAGTTTAATTAAAATAGAAACCATTATTAAATAGGTGCAATAATTGCTTCCACCTAAATAATTAATAGCCTTGGCGAATGGTTGGAGAATCTCTACTAGATCGTTTATTGTATTCCACTTATCATCATAAAGTAAAATTTTTTTTAAATATTTAAGATCTTTCTTAGTATCAGAATCGGATTTGGTTGAAAGTAAAGTTACAAGAAAATTAATATAGTTTTTTAATTTAAGAAGTCTATTCCATGTGAGATACGAGGAATTCCATCTTGTTGGGCAATCGGCAATAGCATATAAGTATTCAGAAACTTTTTTTATGTTCTAATAAATTAGAATGTATATGTCAAAAACTATTACTATAATATAAATAAATATATATATACAGTATTACTTTACCTTAAAATTATTATTATTATTATCATTTTCATTTTCACAATCACTTATATTTTGAGTTTCTGAAAATCTGGCTTAAACTTTTTGAGCCTTTCGCACTGCTTAGATCGTATAAAAAATTTAATTACATGCTTAACTCTTTTAATCTTTTAATTAATACTTTGGCTGAAATTAGTCTCTTTGTAACTACAAGTTGTAGAGTATATGATATGCAATTTAGCTATTTAACATTTTTTATATCCAATACTGCCCTTTTTACATTTTGACCATTATTAGTAGTGATAATAAAGGTTTTATCTTGGATTTCCCATTCATCCATGATAGTATCTAATATTTCACTTATATGATCGGCTGTATAGGGATATTTAACATATTTTATAGTTAGAACAAATTC